GCCCAGCCTAAGCCTAACAGTGGTAACATCTAGAAGTCTGCCAACCTACCTTACCTTGAGGTTACCTTGAGGTGCTTCCGGGGCTTAGCGTCCCCCGCGGCTCGGTCGTCGACCAGGCCTCCTGGTTGCTGGACTGATCAACCAGGCTGTTGGACGCGGCTGCTCGCAGCCTGACGTCCTGACCAGGGCTGAACAAGTGAGACTCCCTCAAGAATGGGAAACTAGGCTTGGCTGTCAGCCGACTGGATCATCCTTGAGACTAAAGTCAATGTCTGTCTACTGCTCTAGAAGCTGGACTAGGCGGGGCTGGCAGCCGATGTTCCTAGGAGCCGATGTTCCTAGCAGCCGATGTTCCTAGGAGCCGATGTTCCTAGGAGCCGATACTCCTAGCAAGCATATCTAGATAGGCACATAAACTCAGACGAAGCTGTCTCCAGCCAAGGAGAGAGAGATTGGAGGCGCCACTCAGGGTAAGGGCATCCCAAGCCTGTGAGAGACATGTTGGCAGGGGCGGTAGGAAGCAGAGGGTTACATGGAGGGGAAGGGGGGGTGAGGAAGAGGGGGGGAGGGGGGAGGAAAGGTAGGAGGATAGGGAGAGGGGGGGGGGAAGGAGGGCTCGTATATGTTAGTGCTACTGAACTGGTACAGTATGTTGGTGTTATAGATTCAGCTACTCTGAACAAGTTTCCAAGTAGCACGGGCTATGGTGAGCCCGTAACTTACCTGGCACAGGAGCGGGGGCAAGTAGCACGGGCTATGGTGAGCCCGTAACTTACCTGGCACAGGAGCGGGGGCAAGTAGCGCGGGCTATGGTGAGCCCGTAACTTACCTGGCACAGGAGCGGGGGCAAGTAGCACGGGCTATGGTGAGCCCGTAACTTACCTGGCACAGGAGCGGGGCAAGTAGCGCGGGCTATGGTGAGCCCGTAACTTACCTGGCACAGGAGCGGGGCAAGTAGCACGGGCTATGGTGAGCCCGTAACTTACCTGGCACAGGAGCGGGGCAAGTAGCACGGGCTATGGTGAGCCCGTAGTGGACTTATTTGGCACAGGAGCGGTGCTGTGCAGTATGTAGGTTTGGTTAGTTAATATATTACTTAACTCAAACTCATCCTGTGAGTGGTAGTGGACGCCTTACTCATCCTGTGAGTGGTAGTGGACCCCATACTCATCCTGTGAGTGGTAGTGGACCCCATACTCATCCTGTGAGTGGTAGAGAGAGAGAGAGAAAGAGAGAGAGAGAGAGAGAGAGAGAGAGAGAGAGAGAGAGAGAAAGAGAGAGAGAAAGAGAGAGAGAAAGAGAGAGAGAGAAAGAGAGAGAGAGAGAGAGAGAGAGAGAGAGAGAGAGAGAGAGAGAGAGAGAGAGAGAGAGAGAGAGAGAGATTACCCCTTTAGTAGCTATGGGAGAGATATTTCTCAAGGGGAAAGGGGAGGCTAGGTAACGAAGCCATTACGACTATATAAAGTTAAAAGGGGAGGCTCTACACGGACCCTTTACCACACCCACTACCAGGAGTCCAGCGTCATCACTCTGCACGCAAGTCTGTTGCGTTCCGTTGCGTGCAACAGTCGTAGTGAGAGGCACCTGTTGGCCCGTTTTCTGCGTCGATAACTGACTCTAGCAAAAATCCTTGTTCTATTTAGGTAGCGTTTGTGTTCTTGGGCTAGTTGGGGCGGGGGGGGGGTGTGGGGTGTGGCTTGGGGGTGTGGGGTGTGGCTTGGGGGTGTGGCTTGGGGTGGGGTAGAGATGAACGTGGGGCCAAACCCCCCTCCCCACTCACTCCCCTTCAGATCAAACCACTACAGCCAAACACATGACCGTATCTTCGGGTAGTTACTCAACCATTCTGGCAAGGTCTCTCTCTCCTCTGGGCGAAGATATGTACTAAAGTGGTCGATGGTAGCTTATTGTGGGATAGCGTTTTGTGGAGCAATGGTGGATTAGTGCACCGCTTGACTCCTGGGCTGTCGTCCGCCAGGTGGGTGGGGGCTGGTCACACACACACACACACACACACACACACACACACACACACACACACACACACACACACACACACACACACACACACACACACACATACACACACACATAAGGGGGCCTCGTAGCCTGGCGCGCAGGACTCGTAATTCTGTGGCGCGGGTTCGATTCCCGCACGAGGCAGAAACAAATATGCAAAGTTTCTTTCACCCTAAGTGCCCCTGTTACCTAGCAGTAAATAGGTACCTGGGAGTTAGTCAGCTGTCACAGGCTGCTTCCTGGGGTGTGTGTGTGTGTGTGGTGTGGGGAAAAAAAAAAGTAGTTAGTAAGTTAGTAGTTAGTTAGTAAACAGTTGATTGACAGTTGAGAGGCGGGCCGAAAGAGCAAAGCTCAACCCCCGCAAAAACACAACTAGTAAACACACACACAGCCTCTGGTGAAGGCTGACTCCATACACAGTTTCAAATGTAGATATGATAGAGCCCAGTAGGCTCAGGAATCTGTACACCAGTTGATTGACGGTTGAGAGGCGGGACCAAAGAGCCAGAGCTCAACCCCCGCAAGCACAACTAGGTGAGTACAATTAGGTGAGTACACACACACGCACAGAGGGGGCCTGGTAGCCTGGTGGATAGCGCGCAGGACTCGTAATTCTGTGGCGCGGGTTCGAGTCCCGCACCAGGAAACCGCCCCCCCCCCTCCCTTTTCCCAGCCCCCATCCCGAATAGAATGGATAGTGATATCCATTCTATTCAGTAGGGGATATCTCTCCCCCCCCCCCCCCCCCCCCCCCCCCCCCCCCCCCCCCCCCCCCCCCCCCTTCACCCTCTAGGATGTTCCCTATCTCTGATCTCGTTAAATATTTTTAATTATAGCATTATTGTCCTTTTCATTGCATCGTCCTTGGAAAAAAATATACAGGCCCGGTTGCCCGTACATTCCGTCTTAGGGGGATTAGTCCATTAATCCTCGTGGATTTAATGAAGTGATAACGCTGTCAGAATTAAGATGTGAATGATCCTCGGAGTCAACGGAGGATTAACTGGGCAGGTGAGGTAATTATGAGGAGCTAAGGCAGCATGACTATAGTGTACTTGGAAGGGATATGAGGACAAGGAGACGAGTTATGAGGTACGGGAGACATCTCCCGTCACGCAGGGTGCAGTCGCACCTCCACAGATCTCCAGTATCAGCTCTTGATACTGGTAATGGCTCAAAAGGGGCCACCACTTACGGGCTATTCATGCCCGTGCCACCTCTTGGGTGGCTTAATCTTCATCAATCAATCAATCAGTTATGAGGACAAGGAGCCGGGTCCTCGTCTCCTCCTCATTAGGTGGGGTGTTTGGTCATCTTTAATTATACAATATACAACTAATAGAGGTTATATGTAGTTCCGATACTTGGTTAAATAACTTGGCTATTTGCCAAAGTTATGATAATAGTATAAGTGTGAGTTTGTGTTCACTAACTCGACTATGTTACCTGGTACCTGGTTACCTTGTACCTGGTTACCTGGTACCTTTGACCTTGTACCTGGTTACCTGGTACCTGGTTACCTGGTACCTGGTTACCTGGTACCTGGTTACCTGGTACCTTTGACCTTGTACCTGGTTACCTGGTACCTGGTTACCTGGTACCTGGTTACCTGGTACCTGGTTACCTGGTACCTGGTTACCTGGTACCTATGTATGTACATTTATGATCAAAGTTCTGAAATGAATTTGAGAAGCAGATTTTAACGTAGGAAGTCTCGCAGACTTCAAGCACCGTGTCTTATGGTGTAGCTACAAGCTGGCTGCTAGACCCTAAAACCCTAATCAGTAGCTGACTGCTGCTGATTAGGGTTTAGACCCTTCATTAGGTTCACCCCCCCATAAGGTTGATATTTGCTAGTCAGTTTCGGTGCCTTGTCGGGGGTCTAAATGCTGATAGTATATCGCTCTTTTACTTGATATAATAAACCCTCTAGGCCTGTTGATTTACGCCGCATGCCCGCCTCCGCCGCGTCCATATCAGAGGGAGAGAGAGACCTTACATAACCGTAGAACAATGGTACTCTACTCGCATAGTGTGTGTGTGTGTGTGTGTGTGTGTGTACTCACCTAATTGTGCTTGCGGGGGTTGAGCTTTGGCTCTTTGGTCCCGCCTCTCAACTGTCAATCAACTGGTGTACAGATTCCTGAGCCTACTGGGCTCTACCATATCTACATTTGAAACTGTGTATGGAGTCAGCCTCCACCACATCGCTTCCTAGTGCATTCCATTTATTAACTACTCTGACACTGAAAAAAATCTTTCTAACGTCTCTGTGGCTCATCTGGGTACTAAGTTTCCACCTGTGTCCCCTTGTTCGTGTCCCACCTGTGCTGTGTGTGTGTGTGTGTGTGTGTGTGTGTGTGTGTGTGTGTTTTCACCTAGTTGTTTTCACCTAGTTGTGTTTGCGGGGGTTGAGCTTTGCTCTTTCGGCCCGCCTCTCAACTGTCAATCAACTGTTTACTAACTACTACTTTTTTTTTTCTTTTTTTTTCTCTCCACACCACACACACACACACCCCAGGAAGCAGCCCGTGACAGCTGACTAACTCCCAGGTACCTGTTTACTGCTAGGTAACAGGGGCATTCAGGGTGAAAGAAACTTTGCCCATTTGTTTCTGCCTCGTGCGGGAATCGAACCTGCGCCACAGAATTACGAGTCCTGGGCGCTATCCACCAGGCTACGAGGCCCCCCCCTGTGTGTGTGTGTGTGTGTGTGTGTGTGTGTGTGTGTGTGTGTGTGTGTGTGTGTGTGTGTGTGTGTGTGTGTGAAGGAGGCACAGAGGGGGTGGAGAATAAGGAGAAAGAGCTGGAACAGACGGTAAGATATGACCCACACAACATGCCCATTTAGCCTGGTGTCACCTCTGGTAACTCCCCAATACCATTGTGAACACTTGCAAGCACTTGTCACTTCCACTAATGATGCTCAGACAGGATTTTCTATGCCGCGAGAACTAACTTGATATCTCTGTGACGGACAGCTCTGGGCGTGTCCGGATGGGTGCTCCTGGCCCTGGCTACGGTGGCACTGCTGACTCTCCTGCTGCTCTACGCCGACACCGCTACCTACGTCCTTCGCTACTGTCCTACCAGACACAAGGAGACTACAGCTATCGTCCTTACTGTATACCCGGTGAGTGGGTGGGTGACCCTTGCAGGTCGGCGTTCAATCCCCCAGACGATTCGATCGGTTGGGCACCATTCCTTCCCTGCGTCCTATCCCAGATCCTTATAACCCTTCCAAGGGCTATATAGTCATACTGGCTTAGCGTTTTCTCCCTATAATTGCCATTTCGCTGTGAATCAGACCCCCCCCAGACTGGGGAATAGGATCAATAGTATTTAGAAATCAACCATATGCAGGCGATGCACACACGCACAGGCTCACCATAGCCTGTGCTTCTTGCCCCGCTCCTGTGCCAGGTAAGTTACGGGCTCACCATAGCCCGTGCTACTTGCCCCGCTCCTGTGCCAGGTAAGTTACGGGCTCACCATAGCCCGTGCTACTTGGAACTTGTTCCGAGTAGCTGAATCTATAACAACAACAACATGCAGGCGATGAGCCACAAATAACGTGGCTGAAGTATGTTGACCAGACCACACACTAGAAGGTGAAGGGACGACGACGACGTTTCGGTCCGTCCTGGACCATTCTCAAGCCGATTGTGACTTGAGGTTGATTAAGGAATCAACCAGATGTTGCTAATGCAACCCAACAATGAGTTGTTTCCATCGTTTGGTTGCAAATTGGTGAATCAACATCATTAGCAATACTGGTGAGGCTGTGGTTAAACTCCAGCAACAACGGAAACTCACGAAGGAGACATTTGAAGTAGATTAGGATGGCACATGGTAAGTTGAATGGAATTGATGAGGTGTAATAGTAGTAGACATGTAGTAGACACATCTTGTAGAAGTTGACACAAAGTAGACATGACTGGCCGCGCTCGCAAGAGAAGTGTGTGTGCAAGATGAAGTGTGTGTGCACCAGAAGTGTGTGTGCACCAGAAGTGTGTGTGTGCACCAGAAGTGTGTGTGTGCACCAGAAGTGTGTGTGTGCACCAGAAGTGTGCACACACACTTGTAGAAGTTGACACAAAGTAGACATGACTGGCCGTGCTCGCAAGAGAAGTGTGTGTGCAAGATGAAGTGTGTGTGCACCAGAAGTGTGTGTGCACCAGAAGTGTGTGTGTGCACCAGAAGTGTGTGTGTGCACCAGAAGTGTGTGTGTGCACCAGAAGTGTGTGTGTGCACCAGAAGTGTGTGTGTGCACCAGAAGTGTGTGTGTGCACCAGAAGTGTGTGTGTGCACCAGAAGTGTGTGTGTGCACCAGAAGTGTGTGTGTGCACCAGAAGTGTGTGTGTGCACCAGAAGTGTGTGTGTGCACCAGAAGTGTGTGTGCACACCAGAAGTGTGTGTGTGCACCAGAAGTGTGTGTGTGCACCAGAAGTGTGTGTGTGCACCAGAAGTGTGTGTGCACCAGAAGTGTGTGTGTGCACCAGAAGTGTGTGTGTGCACCAGAAGTGTGTGTGTGCACCAGAAGTGTGTGTGTGCACCAGAAGTGTGTGTGTGCACCAGAAGTGTGTGTGTGCACCAGAAGTGTGTGTGTGCACCAGAAGTGTGTGTGTGCACCAGAAGTGTGTGTGTGCACCAGAAGTGTGTGTGTGCACCAGAAGTGTGTGTGTGCACCAGAAGTGTGTGTGTGCACCAGAAGTGTGTGTGTGCACCAGAAGTGTGTGTGTGCACCAGAAGTGTGTGTGTGCACCAGAAGTGTGTGTGCACCAGAAGTGTGTGTGCACCAGAAGTGTGTGTGCACCAGAAGTGTGTGTGCACCAGAAGTGTGTGTGCACCAGAAGTGTGTGTGCACCAGAAGTGTGTGTGCACCAGAAGTGTGTGTGCACCAGAAGTGTGTGTGCACCAGAAGTGTGTGTGCAAGATAGAACACCAGAATCTACGAAGTCGCGTACTAGAAAAGATATGAAATTTGTGTATTAAAATTAATATAGTATTGTTTAGTGTTATGTATGAGGATGATGCGGTTCTTTTATTAGGAAAAAACTATACAAAGTTTGCACACAGAAATCACAATTGCGTGATGCATCAAATGAACAAATAAGTAGATCCAGAACAAATCTAATAAGTTCAGTAAAACTTCCGTTTCAACTCTTTTTTGACCATGTCGTAGCTCAGTCGATTAAGGCATCGTCTGGGATGCTCTCGGACGCAGGTTCGAATCCTCGTCACGGCCCTTGGGATTTCTTTATACAAAGTTTTGTTAAATTTGAGAAAAGACATGTCAAAGTGAATGTAGATTACATTTAAGTAAATGATTTTTGGAGAAGGGTAAACTTAACTTGTAAAGTAGAGGAAAATGAAGATGTTCTTCAAGTGGTTGGCTTAAATACTTAAGACTGTAATTAACAGGAGAGGAAGTTGTAGTTAAGAGGTTGAGAGTCATGTCAGGAATAGTCAAGTCTGGCACAATGATAGCCTTGTTTGGGGAGACTGAGATGAGATGATGCTTCCCATCCATATGAATCATCTATCATCATTTCTTGCTCTTCTGTCTTTTCCACAGCTTACTAAGGCTGTTTAGTCAACAGGTTCATTCCGCGAAGGTAGATGGCTCCTGAGGGAAGCAACCTCGAGAGATTGTTCCATAAATGTAACTTAATAATGTCAAATTTCAGGTCCTGGGCCTATGCAGCTACCTTGGGCTGCTATTCCAGAAGGCCAACCTGTTCCTTGATTTGGCAGCCCAGCTCTGGTTTGCGCTCTGCATGTGGCAGTTCCTCGATCTCACGCTCTCCTACTTCGGCGGGGAGTCGCGCTTCGTGGCCAAGATGAAGGGGGCGGTGCTGCCGTGGAAGGGTCCCCCGTGCTGCTGCTGGCCCTGCTGCATCTGCCCCAAGTCAACAGTCAGCAAGTTGGTGCCCTCTATGTCACTCAGTACAATCTAGTTGATAAGTAGGCTGTGCTTCTCATCATAGTCAGATACATAGTCCTCTATGTATCATCATTTTCTCCATCCCTATGCCCACAGCTAAATAATATAGATATTTTTCACATGACACATTGCTAATACAAATTTAGAGAGAATGTCAGTCATCATATGATTAATATCTCGAAATAGGGATGAATATACCCCGAGAGGTGTACCTTGGGTGTACCCTAGGTGGACCCTCGGTATACCCTCGGTGTATGTACACTCAAGAGTTTACTTAGTCCTGGACAATGGCCAAGACTAAGCAAGAAATCCTGGCCTAAGCAGGCCAGGATTTGTTCGCCAGGACTAAGGAATTCTTGCCGGTTGGTCAGTAAGGTATTGTGTGGCCTTAATAACTCTCCAGCATCGCCCAGAGAGTGAAGCTGACGGTGATCTCTCTCTCCTGCAGACGACAGATTCGTTTCGTGAAGGTTCTGGTGATCCAGCATCCGTGGGTGCAGCTCGTCCTCTCCATCTTCCAGATTACCCTGTGGCTGGAGGGATGGTCAGTATCTCACGGGGAGTGTTTGGGAGAAGGTGCCTTGAAGGTGGCTCCGGCTGTGTGTATGTGTGTATGTATGCTCGCGATTGTGACCACATTATAGTGTGTGATATTGGTTATGCTGTATCAGCAAACTTAATGTCTCCGGGAGTAGGGGTAGAAGTGGTTAGTTGTGACCGATGATCTTACGCCCCACACGTCCTTCTACAGGTACACCCACATGGACATGCGACCCAGCAGCGCCTCTCTCTACATCTACCTCGTTTCCACCATATCTTTCTTCTTCGGGTTATGGGCCTTCATCGTTGGCTTCAAGGCCTCCCGCGTCCAGCTGCAGGAGTTTCACTACACGCCGAAGATCGTGGCCTTCCAGCTGTGCCTAGTGTTCCTCCGCCTGCAGGCGATTATCGTTAACTCCATCCTGGTGCCCAGCGGAGCGATACCCTGCCTCCCGCCCATCTCTCCCAGAGTCTTCGCTAACAGTAAGTCCTCTACAGCCATCACATTCATTTAATTTGATTCGTTAATTCGAAACAGACCAGGTAGAGACATGCACTCAGATTTGACACACTTTATATATCATGCATAAAAGACATTATTTAGGAAGGGGGTGGTAGGAGAAAAGCACACAGAAACTGTATTGGAGAGGACCTACATTCCCTCCAATGCGTTATGTGTGGTTTCCCCTGAGGCTATGGGTCCCCCTTCTTCCAGCCAGAGGTGGTACTCCCTTCCTTATTTTGATTGCATTATAATTTAGTCAAACACCTTTGTGTTTGGGATTGTTAACAGTTTTCTGTTAATCATTTACACGGTTGTTAAATTGTGCCTAAATCATCACTGTATAAACAATCTTTTTATGTAATTTTCTTGCTCAACTTTGCTTGCATAAACACACACATTGAGCAGATGTTTCTCCTGCAGCATTGCTCAACTCCCTCCTGCTGGGGCAGCTGGTGGTGCTGTCAGTGCTGGCCAGACACTTTTACAAGATGCCCATCCCGGAGGTCGTCACCCTCACCCACACCGACGAGCTTAAGGACGAACTCCTTCACAAGGCCGTCAACGGTATCGGACCGAAGACTGGCGACGATGGTACTCTACCAATGAAGAACGGTCTCATCCAGAGCCCCCCGTCGGACAAGGAGGACGCTGAGACGGGTCGCCTGATGAACCCCACAGGAGACCTTGCAGCGTGATCTCCACCTTCAGCCTCGGGGTACCGAAGACACACACATACATACACGAGCTCGTTCATGACTTCATCCGCGTATAAACTACCCAAGTGGTCTTTCGTTCTTGGAGTCGTACCAGAAAACCACCCTCGAGAACCTATGAATCAAATACCCAAGTTTATTTATCCATGAGTCTTACTCATTCCACAGCTTCCGTTAATGCATATATTTACAAATCAACTCTCAGTCATATCACTCAAAACTGATCTGTGTTTGCTGTCTTGATGACAAAACTCTAAATATAAACCTTTAGCGTGGTTGCAAGTGTGTCGATCACCCATCCACCGCTCGACTCAAGCAGTATTAAACCCCAGGAGGTGTGAACGTTATGCTATAAGTAAAAGGATTATATTTTATGAGCTTCGGTAGAAGTAGAGGAGAGTGCCATATGTAAATATTTTGCATGTTGCCTGATCTTGGATCAGGCAACTACCAATTATTATTGTGTAAATGATATCACGGCCTAGTGGATCCCTCTAGTATATATTTTGTGTACTATATCGACCGTACTTGAGCTAATACTTAGAGTACTTAAGCTGCTCCTGTACTGGGCTGAGCTGATGCAAATGGCCGTTGTGCAAACAGTTTCATTGTACACCTGCTGGTGTACATTGTACATCGTACAAATGAATATACCTAATTCAGCCAGCGTCAAATGATGCTTTGGCTGCAGAATTCTAAGGTAGCAGTGACTTTGATGAATCTCTATTGACAATTGCCGGGCAACCGAGCCTTGACGGCGCCTTCTTCCTACAGGAAACTGTCAAGTTAACTGCCTGAATAAACAAAAGTACAGTGTATCCTGTGGCCCAAAAGTTGTTGCACTACTGTGCCTTAAAACTACAAGGGGCATCCCTGGAAACACAAACCGAAACTGTCTCTATTTTTCGCTTGTTACAACTTGTAATAAAGTTGTTACATCTTGGCTTAACGTGTTTATGACGTATTAGAACGTTGTTACAACTTGCTATATCGGTTGTTATAACTGGTTAGGAGGTGTTAAAACTTGTTCGAACGTTGTACCAACGCTGTAGTTTCGCTGTGTGTTTGGCGGGATCATGCTTGACCTCACCTATGTCTCGTGTATTTCAGCACTTTGAAGAATCACTTGAAGTTTTGCAAGAGTGGAATGCTCGACATTGTCGCATTATCCGTCTTTGCATTGTTGTGCCTTAAAACAAATCCCATTTTCCCAGACTCTGTAATCGCAGTATTTAGAACTCGGTAATCCATGTATTGAAAATCCGGTCCAGCCGGGTACCATGAGGGTGAATCTGATAACCTCGGTTGTTATGAAGGAAGGGAAAGTTATCGCGTTATTAAGAGCCTCCAACACTAGGAAGTGATCTCGGTGCTAGAACGCAGTGATCCTTGTTCTAGCACAACATGATGATGACCAGACCACACACTAGAAGTTAAAGGGACGACGACGTTTCGTTCCGTCCTGGACCATTCTCAAGTCGATTAACTTATCGACTTGATAGCGATCGACTTGAGAATGGTCCAGAACGGAGCGAAACGTTGTCGTCCCTTCAACTTCTAGTGTGTGGTCTGGTCAACATTCTTCAGCCACGTTATTGTGACTCATCGCCTGCAACATGATGATATTTGTTCTAGCACAACATGGTGATCCTTGTTCTAGCACAACATGGTGATCCTTGTTCTAGCACATGGTGATCCTTGTTCTAGCACATGGTGATCCTTGTTCTAGCACATGGTGATCCTTGTTCTAGCCCAACATGGTGATCCTTGTTCTAGCACAACATGGTGATCCTTGTTCTAGCACATGGTGATCCTTGTTCTAGCCCAACATGGTGATCCTTGTTCTAGCACAACATGGTGATCCTTGTTCTAGCACAACATGGTGATCCTTGTTCTAGCACAACATGGTGATCCTTGTTCTAGCACAACATGGTGATCCTTGTTCTAGCACAACATGGTGATCCTTGTTCTAGCACAACATGGTGATCCTTGTTCTAGCACATGGTGATCCTTGTTCTAGCACAACATGGTGATCCTTGTTCTAGCACAACATGCTGATCCTTGTTCTAGCACAACATGGTGATCCTTGTTCTAGCACAACATGGTGATCCTTGTTCTAGCACATGGTGATCCTTGTTCTAGCACAACATGGTGATCCTTGTTCTAGCACAACATGGTGATCCTTGTACTAGCACAACATGGTGATCCTTGTTCTAGCACAACATGGTGATCCTTGTTCTAGCACATGGTGATCCTTGTTCTAGCACAACATGGTGATCCTTGTTCTAGCACAACATGGTGATCCTTGTTCTAGCGCAACATGGTGATCCTTGTTCTAGCACAACATGGTGATCCTTGTTCTAGCACAACATGGTGATCCTTGTTCTAGCACAACATGGTGATCCTTGTTCTAGCACATGGTGATCCTTGTTCTAGCACAACATGGTGATCCTTGTTCTAGCACATGGTGATCCTTGTTCTAGCACAACATGGTGATCCTTGTTCTAGCACATGGTGATCCTTGTTCTAGCACAACATGGTGATCCTTGTTCTAGCACATGGTGATCCTTGTTCTAGCACAACATGGTGATCCTTGTTCTAGCACAACATGGTGATCCTTGTTCTAGCACAACATGGTGATCCTTGTTCTAGCACAACATGGTGATCCTTGTTCTAGCACAGCATGGTGATCCTTGTTCTAGCACAACATGCTGATCCTTGTTCTAGCACATGGTGATCCTTGTTCTAGCACAACATGGTGATCCTTGTACTAGCACAACATGGTGATCCTTGTTCTAGCGCAACATGGTGATCCTTGTTCTAGCGCAACATGGTGATCCTTGTTCTAGCACATGGTGATCCTTGTTCTAGCGCAACATGGTGATCCTTGTTCTAGCACAACATGGTGATCCTTGTTCTAGCACAACATGCTGATCCTTGTTCTAGCACATGGTGATCCTTGTTCTAGCACAACATGGTGATCCTTGTTCTAGCGCAACATGGTGATCCTTGTTCTAGCGCAACATGGTGATCCTTGTTCTAGCACAACATGGTGATCCTTGTTCTAGCGCAACATGGTGATCCTTGTTCTAGCACAACATGCTGATCCTTGTTCTAGCACATGGTGATCCTTGTTCTAGCACAACATGGTGATCCTTGTACTAGCACAACATGGTGATCCTTGTTCTAGCACAACATGGTGATCCTTGTACTAGCACAACATGGTGATCCTTGTTCTAGCACAACATGGTGATCCTTGTTCTAGCACAACATGGTGATCCTTGTTCTAGCACATGGTGATCCTTGTTCTAGCACAACATGGTGATCCTTGTTCTAGCACAACATGGTGATCCTTGTTCTAGCACAACATGGTGATCCTTGTTCTAGCACATGGTGATCCTTGTTCTAGCACAACATGGTGATCCTTGTTCTAGCACAACATGGTGATCCTTGTTCTAGCACAACATGGTGAATCTCATTCTAACAGAACTTTTTTCTTTTTACTTGTGCTGGGAGAAAGGTTAAATAATTCCTTGACAATGAAGGAGAGGCCGGAAAAGTGAGTACTATATAATAATGGAAAACCCGAATAGTGAGGTTATCTTGAGATGATTTCGGGGCTTTAGTGTCCCCGCGGCCCGGTCCTCGGCCAGGCCTCCACCCCCAGGAAGCAGCCCGTGACAGCTGACTAACTCCCAGGTACCTATTTACTGCTAGGTAACAGGGGCATCAGGGTGAACGAAACTGCTCATTGTTTCTCGCCGGCGCCCGGGATCGAACCCGGGACCACAGGATCACGTGACCAGTGTTCTGTCCGCTCAGCCACCGGCTCCGCTCAGGAATCCGGTTCGCACTCTCGAACGGATCTGAGTTTTCACTGATCACCATTCTCTTCAAAATAGATTATGTAGTTAGGCCTATCATGCCCCCCCCCCCCCTCCCAGGTCACACCACAGTACCGACCTGTATCAGGATACAACCCACAACGGTTGTCTTTTTCCCGGGTATCTATTTACCGGGTGAGGAGAGGCATCAGGAGGAAAGAAAACATGGTCGACCATCTGTGTCCTACCCGGAGACAGAACTCGGGTCCGTTGATTGTGCGCCGAGGAGGTAGACCACTACCTAAACTTATATAAATATTTATAATTGTATTTATTCGTAAAATGTATGTATGTATGTATGCATGCTCCTCCTCTCGCATAGTACACCGTATTTTGATGTCAAAATCCCCCAACGGTCAAATAAAGGGGTACTATATAAATATAGATCGTAGCCACTCAAATATCTACATTTTCTATGTGTGGGGTCAAAGGTTTTAGTACACTATTTTTTGCTCGTTGTGGCAACTCGATAGGTCGGCCTGGTACAGCAGCCCGTGCTCTTAATTTGCCACTACGTGCAAAATAAAGGGTACTATAAAATGCATGAACCCAAGCCTCCCACCCACTCAACCTATAAATAGAAAACGTGAATATCTGTGGGGCTTTCATAGTTCTCCTTATTTTATACATTGGGGACCATAGAGAATAAAATTGAAGCGCATTAGTTGAGAGGACAGGTTCTTTAATTAATACCCTTGATATTATTAAATAACAATGACAGCCACTGTTATTCTCTGCTGTTCTTGTAATATGTTGTTCTTGTTGTGGCTGGTCTTCATTTGTTCAGAACAAATAAATCTATAAGTCCTGACATACTGTCTTGAAGTGCATATTCTCCTAATCCATGTTCACTTTGTTTACAAAAGCAGGTAAGACATGTCCTGTTCATTATAGAAAACTGCTTCTGGCTACTGGGGGTACTAATGTAACGACGGCACCTGATGCCACATGAAATATGCACACATACATATATATATGCAATATCTTAAATTTATAAGTGTATATTGTAGATTATATTTTTATATGTAGCAAACTCTTTCATTCACTTAAAATGTTAGCCTTTAATGTTGCAAGTAATCTTTAACATCTTGTAGTTCACAACCTTTAAAAATAATCATTTCAAACCAACAAGATTTATAATACGGTGCTTTTAGTCGTTGACTTAAAAGTCCTTAATAAATCACATTACATATTTATAGTTACAGCCCCGCTCCTGTGCCAGGTACGTCCGCTATGGGCTCACCATAGCCCGTGCTACTTGCAACTTCTTGTTCTGAGTAGCTGAATCTAAAACATTACATATAGGCTGTAATAAACAAGTAGTAGTTCGCTTAACTAAAACGTTGATATTATAAAGAAAGTTTACACAGACTCACGATGGAATTTTTAACGTATTGGAAGATATTTACAACAAAAAATGTAATTTCGAGTATTCCCCTTTGAGTATGGGCCTACAGGCCTTCTGCAGTTACCTTGATTCTTTATGTTCTTGTATAGAACATAAAGAATCTGGTGACTTAAGTAATCCTTATACAATAGAGTTAAAACGTAATTCGCTGATATTTTGAATTCACATTAGTTAAAAAGACATTTACTTGATTTAAATATATTCTGAATCATCATGTATGTATTATGATAATAGAAATACAGTATAAAATCATATTTGTATTTACAAAAATGTCCATCTAACAAGTCGACCGAGAATGATAGGTATTGAACAAACATATATCCTTAACTGCGTGACAATTACTTTAGTTTTTGAGTATTTGGAACACAGGTGTATTTTTTATTTATTTATTTATTTATTTATATACAAGAAGGTACACAAGGTTACTACAGATTGTGATTAATTAATACAGTCAGTCAGAGGCACTAATTATAGACGGCAACCAATGCAGCTTCCTCGTATTAATAATAATAATTTTTTTATTTATACAAATTACATGTGATCTGACTAGTTATTTCATGAAAGAGATATTTTTTTGTTTTTTGATTACTGGCTGCATTCAGGCGCTGCGTTTCATAACACAGACGCCAGCGCCATCTATGTAAACACAAGCAGGTGGGACACTACACGCTGCCTCCTGTGTTTAATGTGTGTCAGAAGAGATGACAGCTGCGAGTAATGGCTCAGTGTCGTCCTCCAGCACAGGAAAATAGCGCCTGGTCTGTGAGTAACAGTCATACTGTGCGTTGAGGGGTGCTGTGTGTGTGTGTGTTGACTTATGCTGAGCGGTGCTGTGTGTGTGTGTTGACCTGTGCTGAGCGGTGCTGTGTGTGTGTTGACCTGTGCTGAGCGGTGCTGTGTGTGTGTGTTGACCTGGGCTGAGCGGTGCTGTGTGTGTTTTGACCTGTGCTGAGCGGTGCTGTGTGTGTGTGTGCTGACCTGTGCTGACCCGAGCGCTGCGGTACCTCCTCCATCAATCATTCGTAATACGCACAAACCAGTCAGGTTGTGACATTATTTATCATTCACAGGAAGTAAACTTAAGACACACAGAAATCACAATGTCGTAGCTCAGTCGGTAAAGGCAGCGTCTGGGATGATCTCGGACGTAGGTTCGAGTCCTCGTCACGGCCCTTGTGGATTTATTCAGTAAACTTAAGTTTTCTTTGCGTGATGAACAACATATATGTGTGTATGTGGGGAAGGAGGAATCATCACGCATTTACGCAACCACTGACGAAACCTGTTCATCTTTCCTCAGTCATGGCGGCTTTGTTTATATTTGTTAAACAGTTTACAAACTTCGAAACGTTACGAGGTCGTTCTCAACCCAAAGTTATTATTGTTATAAACAACCTCGTAGCGCTTCCGAGATTATAAACTAATAAACGTAAACAGGGCTGCCATGGTGGAAGAAAGATGTACAGATTTCGTAAGTGGACACGTAAATGTTTAATGAATCCTGGTGTTGATGTCACAGCAAATAACGTCGCTTTTCGCTAGGCTGCGCGCTATGTCCAAAAATGGACGTAATCTTATGAAATCGGCTCACGAAAGTGATGTATTGTCCCACGAAAGTGATGTATTATCCCGTTTGATACAGTATTAGGATGAATCTAAGAGAAATATGTCGTAGTGGTGTATACAGGGCGTGTAAGAAGCATCACATTGTGGGGAAACCAGTTCCAGAAAATCTTGAAACGGGTTTCCTTGTCAGTTTCCTCAGAGCTCTGAGGAAACTTCATGATGACTAAACTACCATCAACACTCGTCTCCATGATGTCCTTTGTTACTGAAGAGTCGACAAGAACTGCACCACTCGCTCACTCAGTTAGGGGGGAAGGGGGTGTGATCATCAACTTCGTCAGAACCCGACAGCTAGGAAACGTTGACGCCAATATCGTGCAGGTTCCACATAATAATCATGTTATGGACGTCTTCGAAGACTATTCTGACGTTGTTGGTGTCAGTGGCGATGGTGAAGTGACAGTAGCATTCCCTGGAAGACTCCTGCTCCTCCAGCGGCTTGAAACCTGGCGCCAGGCGCCGGCCCTCTCTCTTCACAACTTGTCGGGAGATAGCCTAGTGTTGGCGGAGAGACACAATGGTTTGTTACATGTCGCGTGGTGATGGTTATGGTGGGGACGATGGTTGTGGTAATGGTGGGAGATGATGGGTGTGGTAATGCAGGTAAAGCGGGAGAAATGGCATATATGAGCTGATGTTTTGGTGTTGATAAAGAATGTAGGCTACAGTACATGTTTAGGAGAGGGACTCGATGCTCGGTTGAGAGTGAGACAGCATGTTGGAGGGGGACGTTGTATGTTGGAGAGGGAGCTTGCAGGTCGGTGAGAGAAGTTATAAGTTGGAGCGTAGAGGAAATATGTTATTATTATTATTATTATTATTGAATGGGACAGAAAGAGCTAATACATGTGTATTTTTAATTGTATTGGATTTTTCCTTCACCATTCAAACACTGGAATTATCAAGTTTCTTCATTATTATTATTATTATTATTATTATGTTGTTGTTGTTGTTAAAGATTCGGTACCTGGAATAAAAAGTTCCAAGTAGCACGGGCTATGGTGAGCCCGTGATAATTATTATTATTATTATAGGGGGTTTAAATTTTCCATTTCATATGAAAAAAAACAGGACTAGGATTTGGCGAGAAGTTACACAACCGCTTACGGACTCTTTCCTCAGTCATGGCGGCTTTGTTTACATTAATTAAACACTGATCAACAATGATCACTGTTTAATTAATCAAGGTTATTATTGTTATAAACAATACGTTGATAAACGTGTTGTTTATAACAATAATAACCTTGGGTTGTGAAGTTCCAAGCTCGTAAACTGTTTTATTAACGTAAACAAACCCACCATGAACATAGAAAGATGTACAGGTTTTGTAAGGGTTTAAACGAATTCTGGTCAGTTGTGGAACGTCAGGCTTTACTTGAAACCAAGTTACTAGAAGTTGTATATATAAAGTTGTATTACGATTACTCACAAGGAACTTGTCTCTTATAAAACACCGGGTCCTCAGGTACTCTTCGTCCTCCTCACTGTCACGGTCTGTGGAGGGGGTAGGGAAACATAAGAAGATCGTAGGAACATTATAGAAGGATCGTGGGAGATAGCTCCTATTGGCTCATGGGAGACAGCTCCTATTGGCTCATGGGGTGACAAATCCTATTGGCTCATGGGGAGACAGATCCTATTGGCTCATGGGGTGACAAATCCTATTGGCTCGTGGGGAGACAGATCCTATTGGCTCGTGGGGAGACAGATCCTATTGGCTCATGGGGAGACAGATCCTATTGGCTCGTGGGAGACAGCTCCTATTGGCTCGTGGGAGGCAGCTCCTATTGGCTCGTAGGAGACGGCTCCTATTGGCTCGTGGGAGACAGATCCTATTGGCTCATGGGAGACAGCTCCTATTGGCTCATGAAATACAGCTCCTATTGGCTCATGGTAGACAGATCCTATTGGGATGGGTGTCATGTTATGCCTCTGACAATCCAACATGTCACCTCCATTGTCATGACACCTGTCATCACTACCCAACACCAGACGACATCACCAGCTAACATCACTTTACCTTTACTCTGGAGCACGTAGTGAGTGTACTCGGGGAAGTGGTCCCCGATACACTTGTGCCTGTTGACCACCTTGTCTCTTAAGATGTCCTGCTTGTTCAAGAAGACGATGAAGCCAGAGTTCTTAAGGAACCTGTGAAGGAGAGCGAGTAATGTCACTGGACTGTACCAGGGACGTCACGAAATGTCATCATATGACATTTAGCTGATGATTAATGTCATAATTGTAGGTGATGTCTTTAGGCTGCTTGGTTTAAGTGATGTCACTGGGCCCTAACAAAGAACATGATATCATTAGACTAAGAAAGAACATGATTCATTGGAATGCGGAAAGTGAATATATTAATTAGTCTGGAAAGCAGGAGGTGATGTTACTAAATATCCCATAATTATACCTTGAAAAGTGCCAGACCATTTATGCGACAAGTGTCACTTTAGAGTGCCACACCCTTAACTACAAGCTGTAGGGTGTTTCTAGGCATTTTAGGGTGTCTTAGTAACTGTGAGTATTTGGGGGGACTCACCTAGAGTGCCACATACTCTGGAAGATGTCGATGGACTCACCTGGAGTGCCACACACTCTGGAAGATGTCGATAGACTCACCTGGAGTGCCACATACTCTGGAAGATGTCGATAGACTCACCTGGAGTGCCACACACTCTGGAAGATGTCGATAGACTCACCTGGAGTGCCACATACTCTGGAAGATGTCGATAGACTCACCTGGAGTGCCACATACTCTGGAAGATGTCGATGGACTCACCTGGAGTGTCACACACTCTGGAAGATGTCGATAGACTCACCTGGAGTGCCACATACTCTGGAAGATGTCGATGGACTCACCTGGAGTGCCAAACACTCTGGAAGATGTTGATGGACTCACCTCGAGTGCCACATACTCTGGAAGATGTCGATGGACTCACCTGGAGTGCCACATACTCTGGAAGATGTCGATGGACTCACCTGGAGTGCCAAACACTCTGGAAGATGTCGATGGACTCACCTGGAGTGCCACATACTCTGGAAGATGTCGATGGACTCTTGAAGACGGTTGGTGAGTTCGTCTTCCCGAATGACGAGATCGAAGCAGCTGGCGGACACCAGGAACAACACCGCCTGGATCCCGTCAAAGACCTGCCGGACACGGCCATATCTTACTCACACGTGATTAATCTTTGCCCCGTCTTTGTCTCCACGAATTATTTCTCACTTCCCTACGCTTGGCGACCCAATCACCTGGACTGGACGATAGAGTGACAGCCTCGCATATTGCAGCCCGGCGCTCGATTTCCGATGATCTAAGTGGTTAGGTGCTGTTCCTTCTCGCCGGTCTATATCAGCTTCGAGTGCTCATATCCCAGCTCCGTGGCCTCGTATCCCAGCTCCTTGTCCTCATATCCCAGCCCCGTGTCCTCGTATTCCAGCCCCGTGTCCTCGTATTCCAGCTCCGTGTCCTCATATCCCAGCTCCGTGTCCTCATATCCCAGCTCCCTGTCCTCATATCCCAGCTCCTTGTCCTCATATTCCAGCTCCTTGTCCACATATATCTGCTCCTTGAACTCATATTCCTTGAGGTTTAATGTTTTCTCTGTACAATAATAATCATATTATTAATATTATCTTCGTCCATCTCTACTGTTTATTCTTTCAATTGCTGGGGTATGAGGACAAGGAGCTGGGATATGGGGACAAGGATGTATGGGACAAGGAGCTGGGAGCTGGGATATGAGGACAAGGAGCTGGGGTATGAGGACAAGGAGCTGGGATATGGGGACAAGGAGCTGGGATATGGGGACTGGGATATGAGGACAAGGAGCTGGGATATGGGATATGGGGACAAGGACAAGGAGCTGGGATATGGGGACAAGGAGCTGGGATATGAGGACAAGGAGCTGGGATATGAGGACAAGGAGCTGGAATATGAGGACAAGGGGCAGAAATGGTTGAGCACGTTTTCTTTCGCCTGATGCGTCTGCTCACCTAGCAGTAAATAGTTGCCGTGAGTTAGGCAACTCTTGTGGGTTGGATCCTGGCTAAGGTCGGTAGTAGGCCTAGGGAAGGCCCCGATAAGCCTAAATAGACTTACCGTCCCCGACAGCGAGAATTGTTATGAATTATAGAGAATTTACAGGTCAGTATTTCCTGTCTGAACCCATTCATGACCCATATGTATGAAACTGAAGCCTCGATTGACTCACTTGGCCTCGAGCTGCACATTGTGAGCAGCGAAGATATGATTGTGTGTACTCACCTAGTTGTACTCACCTAGTTGTGTTTGCGGGGGTTGAGCTATGGCTCTTTGGTCCCGCCTCTCAACCGTCAATCAACAGGTGTACAGATTCCTGAGCCTATCGGGCTCTGTCATATCTACACTTGAAACTGTGTATGGAGTCAGCCTCCACCACATCACCCCCTAATGCATTCCATTTGTCAACCACTCTGACATTTAAAAAGTTCTTTCTAATATCTCTGTGGCTCATTTGGGCACTCAGTTTCCACCTGTGTCCCCTTGTGCGTGTTCCCCTTGTGTTAAATAGACTGTCTTTATCTACCCTATCAATCCCCTTCAGAATCTTGAATGTGGTGATCATGTCCCCCCTAACTCAGTAGTGGTAGTGTGTGTGTGTGTGTGTGTGTGTGTGTGTGTGTGTGTGTGTGTGTGTGTGTGTGTGTGTGTGTGTGTGTGTGTGTTGCGAGTGACGTCATCGTGACGCAGAGATGACGCAAGAATTGGGATCAGTGATAGGGCTTAAGAAGCGTTGTGAAATGACTGAGCTTGATAGCCCTCCTACCTCCCTCCCTCTACCCCTCACTCCCTAATATGGCACGGAGTGACACATATGACTAGTACACATGTGTGTACTAGTTCTAGTGCCACTACTAGTAAGGCTCACTAGTTTATGTAACCCCTAGCATCATTAGTAGCCTCGGGGGGGGTTCCAACGGATGCCAGTCAGTTGTGTGGGGCGTGAATTATAAGGATGAGTAGCCTCTATAGTTTGTCATATATTACGGATGAAAAGCACATGTGTGTGAGCACGTGAATCGCCAACTTTGGTGATGTTGAAGAGTTGGGTTAATAGCAGCTTATTGGCCCAAGCCCAAGCCCATAAGCTGCTTATGTCTTCTCACTCTCTCTCTCTCTCTCTCTCTCTCTCTCTCTCTCTCTCTCTCTCTCTCTCTCTCTCTCTCTCTCTCTCTCTCTCTCTCTCTCTCTCTCTATACTATACCAATATAAACATGCTCTTTCTCTCTCTCTCTCTCTCTCTCTCTCTCTCTCTCTCTCTCTCTCTCTCTCTCTCTCTCTCTCTCTCTCTCTCTCTCTCTCTCTCTCTCTCTCTATACTATACCAATATAAACATGCTCTTCTCTCTCTCTCTCTCTCTCTCTCTCTCTCTCTCTCTCTCTCTCTCTCTCTCTCTCTCTCTCTCTCTCTCTCTCTCTCTCTCTCTCTCTCACCTGGATCCACTTTTTTCTCTCCCCTCTCTGGCCTCCGACATCGAACATCCAGAAGTTGAGAGCGCCTCCTCCGTACTTCTTCGGGACTTTCACCTCGAACTCAATCTTCTGGATGTCCGTGGTGCGTCTCCGGCTGTGTAGGATGTCCTGTTGGAGATCGATGGGTCATGTGAGGTGGGATCACGTCAGCTAAGATTAGAGTTGGGTAATTGAATTCATAACTAGAAAATGTATAGACATACCTTTCTCTCTCTGTCTCTCTCTCTCTCTCTCTCTCTCTCTCTCTCTCTCTCTCTCTCTCTCTCTCTCTCACCTGGATCGTTGGTACGTAATCAGGTTTCCTTACGACGTCTACCATGTCGAGAAAACTGTCAAAGAAT